CCCCCCCCCCCCGCCGCCTCTCTCAGGCTATGTTCTCCTCCCCAGACCCACCACCGATGCCCTTCTTCCTCTTTTTGTTCTCTAAAGGCAATGTGGGCATCAGAGAGTCAGAGAATTCAGAGTCCACGGGACTCAGCCTACACTACACTGACAGTGAACTTCTGAGTCAGAAGCCTTCTTCTTTTATCACCTTCAGTAATCGCTGCCCGCATCCTCCGTAGAGCAGGGAGCACAGGAAAGGGGCCCCACGATCCCTCACCAACCCTTTCATGTCTCAGCACACACAGGCACGCCCAGCCCTCCTAAGTGTCCTCGGTGCACACACGCTTGCTCCCAGCTCCACTAACACTGGGCTTCCTTCTCCAGGTCGGTCTGCTCCAGGGTGAGCACTAGGAAGCACAATCCTATTTTGAGGTGACAAGGAGAGAAGGCAGCAGCGGGGCTTCTCTCCCCAGGTGCAGCTCTCGGTGGGGGTGCCAGCACCGGCACCGCAGCCAGATGTAACAGGAAGCCCGTCTCAAAGTCAGCTCCCACATGAACAGGGTCCTGTTCAGCCAGTCAGTCAAGCAATCAACCAATCGCTAGTCAGTGTTCTTGTGGGGTGGGCTTCTCTGTGGCCCTGGCAAAGCATCTGCAAAACTCAGAAAACCAAGAGGAAAAACAAATAGAGCCCAGAAGAGACGCCCTCGTCACTATAAAACAATAGCTCTAAAATCCATCATTCTAAGCAAGGGCTTCTCTAAGCCCTTTACAGAATTTAGGATGCTGCTTTCTTAGCAGCTTGTGAAACGGAGGTTACACCCAAGTGAGCCACTGGGGCATTTGTGTAAAATCCCTCCATTACCCAGAGCTTGGCTCCTCATGGTTTCTCCGTGTCAGCCACAAGGAAGAGGACAAGCCCTGGAGCAGCTCTGAAGGGGATGGAGGAAGCCAGCCTTGCCCAGGCACAGGGTCCCCTGCCGCTCCTGTTCTGCTCTCGTACCCCATCCAGCTCTCCGCTCAGCCTGTGGGCCTGCACTAGAGTTCTCAATCCAGCAGCGTCCACCTTTGGGGAGCAGGAGGGAAGCTCTCCTACCAATCCTCAAGGCGAGGAGGCCTTGCAGGTAAGCTGGAACATGGCCCACCAAGTCCAGCTCCACCCTGCTGGGCTGCGTCCCATGCCGGGGTGTAGATCGTTACTTAGCTACTCTCAGAGAAAGTTCCCAAGACAAGGAGGAAGCGGTGCTGTCTAAGGACGGGAAGTATTTCAGTTTCATTTCCCTGCTCCCCACTTCTCAGCTCTGCCATGGCCTTCCACACACCCGTGGAAGGCAGGAAAAACAAGTATGAATATAATTCTCCACCTGAGTTTCATATCAACTAATTAACCAAGTAAATTGCCAATAAATTACTATTATAAACTGTATGTATACATAGGCATATATATATGTGTGTGTGTGTGTGTGTAGATACACAAACATATGTATGTATGTGTAATTGCAGCTTCTCTTCCCTGTCCCCTCTTGCAGGCAGCTCCGGTCAAAAGCTTCACACTCTTCCCAAAGGGCCTCATCGGATCATTGGTGCCACGTAGTTGGCAGGGAAAAGGCCTAGTTTGTTGTGCAGGCGGCCAGTCCACCAGGATGGGTTGGAGCTGTCCAGGACCTCCACCACCTCTCCGCAGTGGAATCCCAGCTCATCATCCTCAAGGGCCTCAAAGTCGTACAGCGCCCGGGCCCACCTCACTCGCTGTTGGGGGAAAACACAGAGGGGTCCTGATGAGCCCAGGGCAGGAGGGCTGGCCCACTAGAACCTAAGCCAAGAAGTATGAGGACAGAAGAGGGCCTGGTGGCCAAGTGGAGAACAGACTGGACGGTGCCAGGCTGGGGTCGGCTCTGCCTCAGGACTCTCTCCCTACTGTCATGCGCTGGTCCCCACCACCTCCATTTTGAGCTCCCTGCAGTTTGACGTCTCTCCTGGAGGACCAACCATTTCTCTAATTCCCCTCTTGCCACCTCCACGGAGCATGGTGTGAGAAGTTCACGTACCCCGGCCACTTGGAGCTGCACTGGGTCTGTGTGTCGCCGGTGCATGAGGGCGGCGTTCATTTCGCTGCCCATGCCCATGCCACAGTGCCCGTCGTTTATGTCCAGGCTGCCTCCACGGCGTTCCTAGGAACAGGGACAGCAGAGGACCGGTCACCACACTGCCAGGAGCACCCCTCCCAGTCCCCCAGTGCCTTGCTTGGATGCCATGGACATAGCCACTGTGCCAAAAATACTTGCTGATGACTACAATCAACTCTAGATGATGGAGAGAAGGGGAATAATTACAAAGGGTCCTTAGGTTGTGAAGATAATGCAGGATTTCATTCATTCAGCCAAGCAATATTAATCAGGCACCTACTATGTGTCTAGTACTGTCCTAAGTACTGGGGATATGTAGCTGGAGAGAGAAGGTCTTCATGGTGAGTCACCTCATGTGTTAAGTGAGCAGAGAGAAGAATGTCTAAGAGCCTAGGTAATCAGGGAGGGCTTTGTAGAGGAGGTGATGCTTGAAGTCCAGCTTAAAGGAGGCGGAGGGTCGGCCAGAAAAGGGCATTTCAGTCAGAGGGGACAGCATATGAAAAGCCTCAACGGAATGAGAGAAAATGCAAGGGACCATTCCAGTAACTAAAGGTGCGGTGTTGCTGGGATATGCATGGGGAATAGAGGCAGGTAGCGGGAGACAGGCTGGGGAAACAGATAGGGGCAGCTCACAAAGGGCTTTGTGTGCCCTACTAAGGAATTTAGAAACGATGTTATCTGGCTGTATTGTCCATCTCTGTAAGCCGCCTAAAGTCCCATCTGGAACAAGGTGGGGGATAAATAAAGAAATAAGCAAGGCTCCATTGCTGGTATTAATCCATTTTTCTTGTAGATCTGACAGCCAGATGGGTTAAGGGGCATGAATAGATTTGGAATTGTGCTGATGGAAAAACAAAGCAATTGTTCACTGACTCCTCAGGGTAAGAATATATGTGTGTGCTCTTCAGGCAGCAAGCTGTTCGATTCACAGAACCTTCTTTGCCAAGAGCAGTTTCCATATCCTGTTTCTGCCATGTGGGGGGCCCAGGGTCTTCCTGAGAATTCTGTGAAGTCTGTTGAGGCCTGGGAAGTTCCTCCCCCAGCCGATGGTCCTGGGACCACACCAGACCCCCAGCATTTATTTGCTATGGTTGTTTCCAGCTTTTGGAGAGTTTTCACACACTAAGTGGCAGTGGGGACAAGGTGGTCTGAGCCTGGTGGGAGAGCAGACCCTCCTCTGACCTCACAGACCACTTCCTTCCCCTGAGATACCTGATGGAAGTGGTGGTGCTGCAGGTACCGCTGCTGTGGTGGTGGTGCTGCTGGCGAGTACTGCGAGGACTGGGGGGGCGGCTGGTCCGACAGTTTGCGGTTCATCGAAGGCCGGATTTCTTCTCCCACTGCCCCGCTGAGGTGTGGGCCTCCCTGGGGCCTCCGGTCCAGGCTGTTGCCCCGGCGACCCTGGGAGAGAACAAAGAGGATAGGGATCCATCCTCCTCCCTCATCTCCGGGCCCTGCCCCACCCTTCTGGCAGCTGCTCCCAGATTTTGCTCAGGGCAACTCCAAGAAACAGCTGACCAGGCCAGGGGCAGCTCATGAGGACCGATGGTCAGACCTGCACATTTTCTGAAGTGGCCTCTGTTCTCAGATCCTCCCAGTTGGGGATTTCTGTCTCTGATTCACACACTTTCCACATGATACCCATTTAGTCCATTCCTAGTGGGCTCATTTTTCTCTGTGTAATCAAGCTTAAATGTTCTATTTTACCGACACAATGCCACCCCTCCTTATCACATGTTGCCACACTGCTGGACATTCCTACCCTCCAGATAAGCTCTGCTATTGACTTTGCATAATTTTGAATTGTCATTTATAGCCGGGTGATGGAGACCCAAACAGCAACAGTCCTGTAGCACCATGAAAACCAGTCTGCCACTGGGCAGGCTGGGAAGAAGCAAGGCCTTTCTCCTTAATGCTACCACAGCCTCGTGAATCAGAGATACGTTCTTGTCATTTTCATTTAACGAACCATTACACAGGGCTCTGGGCTTAGAATATGCCAGGCACTCTTCTAAGTGCTGTACAAATATGAACTCATTTAATCCAGTTTAATGCAGTTTTATGTTGCCTCTCTTATCCCTGCATGCACGTCCTGGCAAATTAATTGTCCATTTCCTGGTTAAAATAGTTAACAAAGTCTTGGTTAGCCTTTGTTATTCTTCCTGAACTCCCTTGTGTTCTCTGGAGGAACACCCTTTCTCCTTTGACTGCAACTTCTCAGGCTTAAAATCAACCAATTACTCAAAAGGGATGACTTTTTTTTTACTTTCCCAAAGCCCATGTTGCTCTTAAAGTCTCAATGCCTTTTCAAATGACCTGTCCCTTCTGGTCAATGGAAGGACATGTCTTATAATCCCATCTCTTACAATCATGTTATTTCCTTTGAAAAACATTTTATGAATTGTGTGTGTGTGAATTTACTTATGGAAGGCCAGGTAACACTTCCCTGGCACCTTCTACTTCCTTGGCACCAGATTCTGTAGTAAGGGCTGTAACTATACCTCATTTGATCCTCATAACAGCCCAGTGCGGGAGGTTTCATTTTTCTCTCCATTCTACAGATGAAAAAACCGATACTCGGAAAGATTTCTTAACTTGGCTAGGTAACAAGGATAGTTAGTGATGAACTCAGAACTTAAGACCAGGTCTGTCTGATGCATTTTCTACTAAAATAATACTTTATATTCCAAACTGCTCCAAGAGTAAGAATTCCAGGTCCGGTTTTCTCCCCTCCCCCACCCCATCACAGAGCTCTCCCTGCTGCCTTAGTCCTGGACTCTAGGCTGCTCTGATGTCCCTGTGTGCAGTGGTTCTGACCCCTTCATCCTTGGGAACTCCTGTGCAAGGCTGAAAACTGTGATGTAGGAATGTCCATAATAACAAAACGAGAGAAGAGCTAATGTTCATTGGTTTCCGTGGTGTTATCAGAAAGATGGAAGAGAAGGGGAAACATTATCTTCCCTAATCCTTGAAACTATCCTATGAGGTAGATACCACTATCATTCTGATCTTAAGGTTGAGGAAACTGAGGATTGGAGAACTTTCCAGAGTCACATAGCTAGGAAGTGTTAACCTAGGATTTAAACTAATATCTGACGTCAGTTATTCTGCCTTTTGGAATACTCAGGACATACCCACCTAACGCATTGTCTGGATGGCTCACGTAGGACGCAAGCTGCCTGAAATCTCTGGATTGGGGCTGATGGGGACCTGGCGCATACCTGATTGTCTTGGGTTCTATCCCTCAGGAAGATCTGCTTCTGTTTGGAGATGGAAGTCGTCCTGTAGTAGTCCACCAACGTATTTAGGGATGGAAACTTCTCTGTCCATAGGAAATAATTACCCTTGTTGTCTCTCATGACCTTGAAGTGCTGAACATCATCCTCATGCCTAGACATCAAGGCAAATCCAGATTGCATATTACATGGTGACAATGGCCCTGCCTCCAGGGCTGATTGCATCCAGGGATGCCTGAGTTCTGTTTGGGCAGGAAGTGGAGATATGGGCTGCCGGTCCCTCACTGGGCAGGTGGGCTGGCTCAGTCAAACTCTAGGGGGAGATTTATGGTAGGGACTGCTCAGGACACAGGCTACATTAGAATTTTCACATCAGCAGAAGGTAATCTGTTTTTCTGACACTGGAACCAACCTTATACAAGAATAAAAATGTTCCAAGTGCTTTACAGTCTGCGAGGTCAAGGACCTTTTTACAATGTTTATTTGGAACATGGCAACTCTTGAGTCCTGTACTATGCTAAGGAGTCTGCCCAGACTCAGAGGGGAGGGGTTTTCAAGCCCCTGTTACCTTTCTGTTATCAGAAGAACTTTGAACCAGCTCCTTTAAGCCCATAAACTAGTTCTGGACAGTAAGAGACTCCCTTGAGAAATTTGTCACACATGTTCTCTACATAATGGAGATTTCTTGATCTTGGTTTATGTTTTGCATAAGTAAGGTTACAAAGTATTTTGGGCTTTTGGGGAAAAAAGTGGTTTTCTGGTGTTTTAATTGGAAAGGAACTCAGAGATCATTTAGCTTTATGCTTTCACATTACTGGTGAGGACATAGGCTCAGAGAGGTGGAAGGGCTTGGTCAGGTCACCAGGAGTGAGTGGCAATGTTGAGCCAAGAACCCTGGCCCTCTGATTTCAGTCTAGTGAGCTGGGCCTGGCCCACCATGTACACATACTAACTTGTTTTGGTTCCACACTTTTGACAGCAGCTGGACTCACAAGTGATGGGGCACATTTGTGCCTGGGATGGGGAAACTGGATTTTATTCATGCAGAAAGAGGGAACAGGGCTTTTACCAATAGCTCCAATCTTTCTCCACAACCAAGTCATTCTCTTTTGGATTTCAAGTTTATTTGTCAAATGGACATACATTTATATTTAAAAATAAACTGGCACTAATGATACCAATTGCTTTATCCAGCAGAAAGGTCAAGAATTGAACAAGGGTTGGAAAATAACATCCATCTGGAGATTGGTGGAGGTTTTTTAGGGATGGATGTAGTGGTCTGTGTTCAGAGGGACAGGAATTCTGATGGTCAATCTCATCTTTTGTGCTGGACTCTGCTCCTAGCTGGGTGCCCATGCAGTGTCCTCTGCCTGACTGTTTTGGGGTAGTAACCAACCCTCTGCCATCACTGCATGGTCTTGCCCTTGGTTTTGGCCACTAGTGAATGCTTTCTTCACTCGCATACCACATGGCCTGTCTCATAGCCATTACGGCTCACATCTGCGTGAGGAGGAGGAAATATTCTTATGATATAATTATTCATCCACCACCTCTTAGTCAAAGAATTCAGAGCAAGAAACACTCATGAGCTGAGAGAATGGATGTCAGGGTTGCAGTTGGTGTTCTGGGTCTTGGGAGAAAGCGTGGCTACCCCACTGTCTCAAGCTCTGAAAGGGGCAGACAAAAGGCTGTAACTCAGGGCTCCAGACTCTAAAGCCTAGTGTTTCAGACCCTTAGCAAATGCTCAGTGATAGAATGACAATTACCTTCTAATTATCTGTTCCCATGGCAGAAAGCCAATGTATAAACAAAAATGATTTTGTTTTTAAATATATTCTGCTACATTTCTGCAGAAGATGTGAAACTGATTATGGTGATAGTCACCATGACAAGGAGCCGCGGGCCTCACCAGCAGGGAAAGACCAGGGCAAAGGCAAGGCTGACTGCTCTGCAGAACTCACCTTGATCAAGGAAATATAAGCCCTAACTCCCAGCTGAAAAGGCCACAGTCAACTTACTTAGCTGGTCCAGTCTATAATCAGGGCCCTTAAGAAATAGGTTTGACTGTAAGATTTATTAATAGAACAAAGTTTCATTAAGACCTAACAAGTTTAGAATTTGTGTTAAGTCAATATTGACCTGAGCTAAAATTTACTATGGTCTAAGCTGTGAAAAAGAGTTTTAGTTAAGGAAAATTAAGAGTTTCAGCAAGATTTCAAGGGCAACTCTAATGAGACCAAGCTATTTTTGAATACCTTAGTGGCACGGGTATACAGATAGCTGACCCATTATTTGTTAAGTCCTTCCTACCTATTCCTTAAACTATCCATTCTTTGTAAACAGTAAAGTGGCCTCAGTTTATTACTTGAGATTGGATTTATGTACTTACAGCAGTAAAGCTGCGTGCCTTTCAAAATACATTGAATAATATGGACCAACATTTCCTATCAATTCCTTCAACAGTAGGTGTCACTGTACAGGTTGTCACACCTCCTTCTGTACTATTTACGTTAATTCTTGCACTTTCACATGTGGTCACCGAGTTTGATACATGACTTGCAATCCCAGACACGCTGACCACATGTGGTGTGTTCAGAGTGAGGCTTCTGAGTGTGGGGCTGTGTCACGTTTAGGTGTGGACTGAGTCATTTCCTCCCGGGTGCTGGGCACTGGCGCGACCTCCTGGCTAGTCCCCGCCCCAGTCGGCCACGTGCTGCGAGGCTGCTCTTCTTTTTCTGTGATAGGTTGCGGTGCGGTAGGGCAGCCCTGCTTCCGTGCAGCTACCTCCAACTACACAAGTATCCTATGGTGGTGACTTGGAAGTTTTGTTCTCTTATGACCGTTCTTCAGGCATTCATCAGGAATAAAGGAAAAGGTTAAGACTTAAACCCCAAGACAGACGTGGACAATTGGGGGACTTCTCCCTTCCTTCTCTCTCCCCACTTCCTTCCGCAGATACTCATTGAGCACCAACTAGGTACCAGGCGCCGTTAAAGGCACAAGGATGAAACAGATAAAAATCCTGTCCTTCCACAAGCACTTCGGCCAGAGAGGGAGGCAAATGGATGTACACGTAATTTTGGCCACAGACCACTGTATGAGGGAGTTATGTAAACATGTCATGGTAAGGAAATGGATGGCTTCAAAGTTGATGAGATGCCTGGGTCCCTTGGCCAGCACACCCCTGAGCAGGAGGTCATGTTCAAGGGGTCACCTCACGGCCTTGGCAGTTGGGGTCAGGGCAGTGTCGGGAATGGCCGGTACCTGACGGAGATGGAGAAGTCCCCTGGGGAGCTCTGGCTGGCCCGGATGATGAAGAAACCAACCTCCTTCCCCATGAGTAAGTTCTCTGCCTGGTGTCTTGAGAGGCCTTCATGAAACCATCTATAAGGCGAGATAAAAGCAGAGAAGCTTGGTGAGACGCTGGTGGTAGGACGGGGCGGTAGAGGAGACACGACCCAAAGCAGGAGGGGAGGCCGGGGGCTCTACTGGGCGGGGAGAGGAGAGAGGTGGGAGAGGGGCCGGGGAGCCTCTGCCCCAAAACAAATGCCCTAGGCAGTTTTCAGGACAGGTGAGGGGGTGTTTCCTTGAGGTACCATCTTTGTTCCTTCCCTCCTGGAGAAGGTTCTCTCTACCTGGGAAACCTGGGTCATGGAAATGTGCCCCTGCACCAAAATGGGGCAGTGTGGCAGTGACTCGCTGTGGTAAGTGGCCACCTGTTGGCAGCTGTGTGAGGGACGTGCAGGGAAGATGGACGCACCAGGACAGGGACCCCTTCAGGCACTGGGGCCGCGCGGCAGAGCTGGGAGGGACCTTGGGTGCTGGCTCCCAGGCTGGTACCTCAGTGTCCGGAAGGAGAGTTACAGCTCCGAGCCCACGTTACCTGGGTGGTGTGGAGCGGGAGGGGCTTTGCTCAGTGTGCCCAGCAGAGGCTGCCACGCACCCAGGGAACCCTGCACACACACTTGGAAACAAGTGAAGCCGGCAGCTGCCACCTGGCAGTGTCTACACAGCTAGCTCCTGGGCCCTCCCTGCAAAGTCAGGCTGGAAAATAATCTTTGCTGTGGAAAAAAAGAAACAGGAGAAACTGCTCTTTCAGGGGAGCAGTCAGGGTGGCAGCCTCAGGAAGGGCTGCTGCAGGGGACATGGCACATATGCAGAAGACCAAGCCCTTCCATAGGGGCGAGGCAAACAGACTACAGCCTCAGGCCAGGAGGCCAGGAACCGCTCTCATCCGTGGAAGAGTGAAACAAGTGTTCCCAGTCAGTCAGTGGCCAAGCCCCACCTGTGTTCCATTTCTTGAAGGAGGCTGCTCTGATTGTTGCTGCTAGAAGGCCAATGTGTGCGTCCCTTTATAGTGAACGTCCAACAGGCCATGGCTGTGAAGTCCTTTGTGAGCAATTCCCTGTGCCCTCCAGAATTCAGGAACCTGAACTCCAGACAGAGGTGGCAGGAGAGATGTCCTTATTCCAGATGCAGAACTGCAGGGTAAGGTTGTTCGGGCTCCAAGGGGCAGATGGCTTCTGGCAGTCATCTGCCTGGACATCCCACCAAAGTATGTGCCACATACTCCCCTGCAGGGCTGGACAACTGACCGTCACAGCATGGCCCAGTGTAGGAAATGTAATGCAGGTGGAAAAAGAAATGGGGCATGCACCACAGCAGCCATCCCTCCAAGGGAATATTTTGGAAGAGGTAGCAAGTGGTTAGAAAATAGGTATTTGTTGTCCAGTTGGAATTTGAAAAGTGACTTCTTTCAGGACTTGCAAAAATGTCTGGCTGCTACATATTAAATGAGCGGCCAGGGTTACATTACTACCTATCATTTCAAAGCTATCCATTCATCTATTGAACAGCTTTTTATTGAACACCTGCTACGTGCTGGGCCCTCCTCTGGGAACTGGGGGTGTGAGGTGAGCAAACCAAACCCTTGCCCTCCTGGGACTTACATTCTAGTGGGGGTGGGGGCGACACAACCGACAACAAAATAATGACAAACATACTGTCAGATGAGTGCTGTGAAGAAAATGAACACCAAGAGGGGTGGGGCTTGGGGGAGTACATTTAAATATGGCGGAGGGGAGGGCCTCCCGGGGAGGAGGATATTCTAACCCTAAAGGATACTGAGAGACCAGGAGAAACCAGTAAGGGATGCAAAGGAGGGGCAGCCAGGGACTGGGGAGCAGGGGGAAGGGTGTCCCGGAAGCCAAATGCAGGAAGTGTTTCAGGGAGAGAAAGACCCCCACCTCGACCCCAGCCGCAAATGCTGCTGAGATGACAGCTGGAAGTTCACTGTGATCTTGATAAACAGGTTTTGAAGGAGCCATGGGGGCTCCAGAGAGAATGGGGGCGAGGACGTGGCGAATCCAAACTTTCTTTTGAAGCGGTGGAGTCGTGCTGGAAGGGGATTTGGGATCGAGAGTTGCTTTGCTTTTGTTTTTTGGTAAGATGTGAGAAATTGCAGACGGTTGTTTGCAGATGATCCAGCAGAGAGGGAGAGAAAGCTGACGCGGGAGAGAGGGGGGAGAATTTCCCCTGGAAGCACAGACAAACAGCTGCAGGAAAGGAAGATTGTCTGGGTGCTGGGCAAGGGTGGCTGGTGTGAGTCAGGGTCGGGGTGGGGCAGAGGGGCTGTTCTCGTGGCTTCTGTTGTCCCAGTAACCTGGAAGCAAGGCCATCAGCTGACAGCGCATGGCTGGGGAGCCGCAGGAGGTCTGAGGAGTGGGGAGGAGATGATGTGGTCATCTGGAAGATTACAGGGCAGCATCAGGCGCCCAGCTACCAGTGGTCATTCTCTTGTTTCAGTAGTCAGTTCAGTTCACCTCAGCAGAGTCACCAATACCACTTGGGTTTTCTAACAAACCTTTGCTCTTTGGGTGCATCCTGACTCTCAGACAAGAATAGATTTCTGTCGAACCCCTGTGGTCAATTCTTGAGACAAATCTTACCTTTTCATTTCCTCTTTATGAAGGGAATTTCCCCCTTTTCCCCACTGATGTCTCTCACTGGTGTGAGCATGGTTTAAGGGAGGTGGGAGTGTCCACATGCCTGATTAGTGTGTATCAGGTTAGGATGGAAGGTAGGTTGGGAGGTAATGGACAAATGCCTGGAAGTAGCAGATCCTGAAGTGGGGTGCCCAACAGCACCTCCGTTGGAATTCTTGGGAGCCCTATGATTATAATTATAGATGATTTTAGTTTATAAACCTAAAATAGGCAATACATGCACATGGTATAAATTTCAAAAGGAATGTAATGAAATGCAAATCTCCCTCCCACCCCTGGCCTTCAGCTGTGTGGTTCCCTCTTCAGAGACAGCCCATTTTGACAGTATCTTGGGTATGCATGGATAATTTTAGTGAGGACTGAAAAAGCAAGGCGGGTGTGTGTGGGTAGGCCCCCTTCAGCAGGCTGGAAATACTTACTCAGGAAACTGGATGTCTATAAAATTCTGGGGCACGTACCCCTCTTGGCTCCCAAGCTCCGCCTTGAACCACTCCTCTTGGATACTTAAGATCTACAAGGAAGGGAACAAAGGGCAAAGACACTGCAGGGAGGACCAAGAGGCAAGGGGCAGGGGCTGCCTGGAGGAAAACAAGTCAGAGGCACCGCACAGCTGGCCCCAGTGGGTGGAAGCAGGTTTTTCTTTGGAGTGTGGCTTATCTGGACCCCAAGCTGTTTCTGTCCCCTTGAGCTCCCCACCCATATGACTCCGCCATGGCTTGGCCTCCGAGACTCAGCACTCAAGGGCCTCCCTGAACCCCTTCCCTCTTCTATGCTGGAATTTCATGTGTCCCAGATCTCACCACCCTAAGCTCCGTGTCTGGGCAGATGGTGGGAAAGCGAGAGTAGCTACTCCATGGTTTTTTCTTTGCCAGCTAACCAGGAACCTTTTAAAAATTTAATTTGTTCTTTTTTTTTAAACAATCAGATTAAAACTTAAACTTCCACGTGGGGCCAGCTCTGAAAACAGTCACTTTTTGTGTTCACGCTCCATGTGTTTCACAAACAATCTGGACATAACAAGCGATTTGGAGTGTTTTCTCTGAACTTGCTCTTAGAGATCACAAACGGATCCAGAAGTTCTGTCTCCTTACTATGCGGCCCTCCCTTGACCAAGACCCCCAATGATATCACCTACCCCGAATACTCATATGACTCATCAGACTTGGCTCCGTGTGGCTTCTCATTTTTTCAGAAAATGTTTCACTGTTTAGAGACGTATCTTCATGCCTCCCGCCTCTACCCCCCATTTAGAATGTTTCTAAAGTTTGTGGCATAGACTCGAACAGTAAGGAGGAGCCCTCCTACTTCTGGATTTTGTATGAGAAATAATAAATCCTTGTTATTATTTAAGCCATTTTTAGTTTCTGTTTCTTGTCATTGAAAATGTCTTAACTGACAGAAGTGCTATTATAAAGGGGAAGGCAGAAGACGGCCAGGAAAGACTGTGGTCCCCGGAGTAGACAGGGACACCAGAGGCACAGCAGGGGAAAAGCCTGGAGTTTCATCTTGAGTTTTGTGGGGGGCCATTACAGGATTTTAAGCCGGGAAATAACGCAGTAAGGACTAGAGTTATGAAAGAGGGCTGTGTCAGAACATGGGGACAGATTGGAGGGGTGGCGTCAAGGGGAAACTGTAGGAAGACACGGGTAGCATCCAGGTGAGCATAAGGGGGATCCGGGCCTAGTTTAGTGGAATCCAGGAGGCAGAGTGGGTAGGCAGGCTTTCATGACGAGGAGCAAAGGGAGGAGGATCCCAGGAAGGCTTTGGGTTTGGGGCTTGGGAGATTGAGTGGGTGGTGATGACTTCACTGAAATAGGAAATACGGGAGGAGGAGCAGGTCTGAGGAAAAACTCCTGGGCTTCAGATTGTCTCTGGGTGAATCCAAGCTGCCCCTGGGACTGAGAAGAAAAGCCCAGTGAGCCGTTGGGGGTGCGCCTGGACTCAGCAGAGAGGCCACGGCTGGAGTTTAGGATTCCAGAGTCATCCGGAAGTGGGTGGAGTTGAAATCACGGGTCCCACGGGTTTGCCTCTCCCAGAGATGGGAAGAGAATGGCAGGGAGCTAAGAAATTGAGAAGTGATTATCTATTTCTAATATCACTTCTGAGGTGGAAGAAAGGGGACAGCACTTCGAGTTTGGGATGAGGAAACCTGGTTTCCAGCTTGGCCCTGTCACCAGCTGTATGACCTGTGGCAGGTCAATTAGCCATCTGAAAATGGGGACAATATTAACAGGCTAGCTCCTCACGGAGCTGACGCAAGGACCAAAGGAGCCCTGGTACCTGGAAGTGCTTCAGAAAGCGCTGTTTTTTAAAACCACAGTTCTGTCCAGTGTGATATTCTCATGAGGGAGGACTCCAGCTCTGGGGGACAGGGCGGAGTTTACAAGTTCTTTAAAGTATTAGCTGTATGTGTTTTGAATATAACCATTCATTTTGAAGAAATAAAAGTGTGTCCCATATTTGAGCTCTAGAGTTGCTGTGAACAGAAAACCTTCCTTCCAGTTTCTAACATCAATTGTGGCTGCTGGCATCACTGAAGATGCTGCGTACATGTTTGCTGAGGGGCATGGTGGCAGGGGAGCCGGGTGCGGGGGAAATCTAGGTCACATGGCAATGTGACATATGGCTTGGGTGGCAAATGTCAAATATGAAGGTGAGGAGGGAGGAGAGGTGGAAGAGGCCTTTGGAAATCGGCTTCTCGTGGTAAGAGCCACACTGTTTTTCGATCACTGACCTGAAACCAGCTGTAACTTAGTAATCATGGCTCACCCCCATCTACCTCCTGCAGCAGCTGAGAGATTATCCCACAGAGGTGGCCATTTCTCTCCACCACCTGGAGCTCGATCTGCCTGTGACCATATTCCCAGAGAGGTGAATTTCTGGGCTTTTTTATGGTTTTAAAAAATCTCTTTTTGTGCAGAGAAGAGTATTTGGGGGGAGATGGTTTCCTCTTGCCGTTGCTGGCCCCACACTTCCTGTTCTCATCTCTCCATCTATTCAGCTCCCCTATCTCTCACGCCCATCGCGTCAGCCTGAGCAAGGAGTTCAGCCTGAACCCATGAGCTTTCACACTTAGCTTTACTGTATCTTAATTCTTTTAATGTTGCCTACAAGAATAATTTTCTGGGTTACATGGCCTGAGAATAAATTAGACGTGGGATGAGGACAAAATGTACAGTCAGAAGAATTTTAAAATCAGATGGAATTAAAACTCTTAGAGGCATAGCAGAAGTCTGAAGTATTGAAGACGTTAATTACGTAGGATTAACTCTTAGTGCTTTTAGGTTGCTGTGTTAGAAGAAAGAAGCAGACAGAAATAGACTGGGCCAAGAGACATTTTGGAGTGATTGGCAAATTCAAGTGGGGAAGGTAAGTTTGGTGCTGTGTGTAGCTGCGGGTCCAGGGGTTTTGACACAAACACAGAATATCTGACTCCTGACTGTTCAAACATTATTCTCACAGGAGAAGCAGGATCAAGTCACTTGGCAGGAGTCTCCTGTCTACCATCTTGTGCATCTAGTTTGCACTTAGGTGCTGGGAATACAGAGATGGATAAACTGGGATCTTTGCCCTGTGCTGGGGTTCTTTGCCCTGGAGGGGGTGCATTTGTGGTGAGCTAGTCAGACAGAGTACTTTCTAATTAAAAGGTCTGTTTAGTCTTTTAGCACCAACAGATCCTAGGGCTTGTCACCATCTTTGGAGGAGGGGGACAGATGCTGCAGTTGCACGTGGAGAACCACAGGCAGGCCACTGACTGCGATACAGACATTCTGTGAGGCGCGGCCAACACCCCTCTCCACTTCGGTACCACTGCAGCTGTAGTGGACAGAGTTTGAAAAGGAGAGGTTTGGCCTTCTGATGGAATTCTAAACAAGCAGGCAAGACTCAATTTGCCAATTCAAGCGACATGTCCTGGGCCCTGATTTGGCTGTGACTTGTGTTGGGCTCTGCTGGGAAGGCACAGAGATGTTCCCGCAGCTCTGCTCAGGGTGCCCACAGAGCAGTGGAGGAATCCACCACCCATTCATCAAATATTAGGGAGGGGCAGATTTCTGCTGTTCTCCACAGTGGAACCAGTGCAGAAATGGGCGATCAGGGCCCCAAGGGTAAAGGCAACAATGAGAGATGGACAAATGGAGCCTGAGAGCTCAACGGTGCGGTCTTCTCATAAATAACTGTGGTGTGAAGCCAGATCGTGAGTGTGAAATGCTGGGGAAGAGGTGAAGAGAGAATGACTGATTCTGCTGGGTGGTCAGGCAAGACAGAGGGGCAGCAGGGCAGCAGGGTGTTGAGGAGGGTATTGAGGGTTCCACGCCAGAGGCAGTCAAATGTGTGTGTAGGACAGGGGCCTTCAGACTGTGGGGAAAGACCCTGGGAAAGGATGGTGTGTATGCTGCAGTGTGACATAGGGCCTTATACACACAAAGATGTGTGTACATGTGTGTATGAGTGTGTGTGCATGTGTGTATGTGCACGTTCATGCATGCGGGTATGATGAGGCTGGGCAGTGGCTTAGGCAGATGTCAATCAATTGGTTATGGGGAACCAGTGAATGCTTTGAGTAAGGAAGTGATATGATCTGATTTGTTTTCTAGAAAGATCCTGGGAACTATTATGTTGAACGATTTGAAGGAGGAAGAGATGGGGTAATGAGTTCAGTAAAGGGCTGGGGCAAGAGTCTACACAATCAGAGGCAGCAGAAAGGGGTAATATTTATAACATGCTCCTTTATTGAGCATCTGCTTTGTTTGGGCTAGGCCCATTATCTCTAACCCTTCCCACAACTCTGCAAGACAGATATGGCCTCCAAGTACAGTGAAGAGGGGGCAGTTGACCGACCTAAGACTGCATAGCTTGTGAGCTGGGATTCAAACTCAGATATATCTGCCCCGAAGTCCATGTTACTTTTTCCTACATCAGACTCTTCTATAGTGAAGAAGGATATTGCTTAAGAGATATCATGAAAGAAAAATATTCAGAGTACAGTGTTCAGGAGTCAGATGGAACTCTATACAGATCCAGGGAATCAGCAGTGTCAAACTCCACAGGCTTTGTAGCAGGGTCATTATATTCCACATAAGGAGAAGACTGGGAGACTTTAACGGAATGTTGGGGCTAAAAGGTAGGTTCCAGAAGGTTCCAGCAGAATGAATGGGAAGTGAGGAAGTGGAGGCACCCAGCATAGCACATTCTTCCCAGTATTGTCAGCGAAGGCAAGGGAAGAAATAAAGAGCTAGATTGAGAAGCAGAGTTGAAAGTGTTTTTTGTCTTTTTACTTTTCTGGGGAATAGAGAAAATTTAAGGAAGATACTAGGTTCTGTTTGCAATGAGAGATTAGGGGTGTGAGCTGGCTCCCTGGCCTCTTTTGAGGGAAAACATGAGAGTGGTTGATAACCATGTGGTCACAATGCCCCTTGGAGAAGGGAGGGACTGCTCACCATGTGGCAGATCTATCTGTGTGACCTTGGTAAGATCCCAAAGACACAAAAGTCACCTTTCCCTGGGTCAGCA